GGTATTTGTTTGTTTGAGCCTCTGCTGTTTACCTTTGATCATGTATGTATCCGCGCCCGCAGGCATCTTAGGCCGTCAGTATTGCTCTCTTGCCGGTGTTTGATGCTTATTCTGTTTAACCTGGAGCAGTTTTCGTCTCTGAATCGCTGTCGCTGTCGACTTTTATACTTGTATGTATCTAGATTTGTTTTTGTATCAAATTGTTATTCATTGGTAAGCGGGTAGACGGAAAACTAAATTCATATCGATGGTGAAGAAAGTGATGTGAATTCCACCAATAATCTTAAAATTTGTCGTTACGCACGTATTGTCGTTGCGCACGTATTACATCAATTCTTCTTCTTTACGTGCTTTTCTGCAGAGGTATCAAGTAGAGGTTGCACCTTGCAATAGCTGTGGTTATTGTTCATTGGAAACTTGCAAATATTCGTTGAAGTTTCAGTTTTGTTAGGCTTTTGCAGATCGACTAGGTTGCTGCCGTGGGATTTCTAATAAAATTTCACAACTTTTTGAAGGAATAATGGCGAACGACCACATTTTTTTCGTGAAGAAAGAGTGATAACTCTTAACAACCAATATCCTCCATTCTTCGTTTAATCTTTTCCGTCTACTAATGAGCCCGGGGATTTTCAAATTAATGTGTGCAAGAGTGATTCTGATTTCATAGCGTTTTTTAAATCTAAATTATAAAATTGCTTTGTTACGTGATCTTCATGGAATTCTCCAACAACCCAGTTTAGTTGTTATTTATTTTTCATACATGTTTCTCCTCTCATTCAATGAATTTTTATACTTAATTAGCAACCAGTATGAACTTGTTTAAGTCTTATCTAAGAATCAGTTTGGCAAACTCCTTTTAACGCTTCGTTTGGTGCGTAGGAGTAGGCAGGTTGGAATTCTTCTACTTTATGTGGGAATAAAAAAATTGAAATAAATTCCAAATTTGTCTCATTGCTTATTAATTATTTTAATAAATAACAAACGATATTGTCATTCCCATTTCATTCTCCAATCACACCTAAATATGAGAATGGGTATTTCGTTCCCACGCTTATTCTACTCCGTTCCCCATAACGTTTCATTCTCACCTGATTCAATTCTCACATAACAAACTAGGCGTTAAAACTCAGCCAAGATTGATCTCGACCCAATTTTCAAACAAACCAGTCAAGTTTTACTCAAGGAGAAGTGTGGGCCAAAGCAGAGGCCTTCTAGCCAACACGTTGACCAGTTTTTCGCAAAACGAGGTCCTTCCCAAATCAGAACAAGGAGATTGCCAAACAGGCCCTAACGATCGCGGGTGTGAGGAGGCGGGTTGTGAAAGTTTCAGGTTCAATTAGGGTTTGTGTTTAAGAAAGTAACTGTCCTCAAACTTGCACATCAAAACATCTTTGTCTAAGTTTTAAGAGGTCAATGGACGTAGTCACACAATAGAGCCGTGCCCTGACCTAACTTACGACGATACCGTACTCTAGCGTCGGTTCTTCGTCCTCGGCCGCTTCTCTCTTGTTCCTTCACCCCTGTTCACTTTTTCTTGTTATTATGCAGCCATTGTACCGTGATTAATTGATAAATTAATACTGTTTCAAATATTTTATTGGTGTTGTTTCAAAAGCCAGTAGCTGTAGTTCTATTAAACATAAGAATATTCTATGCAGCTGTTATGGCCTCTTACCTTAATTTTTTTTTTGAAAGTAGGGATATTCTCTCAAGTGCGTGCCGTCTAGCAAATGGTAAATAAATTATTGTCAAATAAACGCCGTTGTCAACTTATTTTCTGTGAAAGAAAATAGAAAAAAGGAATGCTTCGGAACACCGATAATAGGCTTTTTTTTTTAATGCTAAAAAATCAATAAATGGATGAAAACAGAAAAGGGCGTTTTTGACATTTCCCATTTAAGTTTTTATTTTTCTGTTGTTCCTCTTCTTCATCGTTCTCTCCCCCTCCCGTATTTGGAGTTTAATTTTTTAATAATTTAATCTTGCTCTCTACCATGAACCCAACCAGAAAAAGTTTGCTTCAGTAAATATTTTAAATTTCTTTTTAATAAATAATTTTTAAAAGTGAGAAAATTTTACATCATGTTCTGAGAGGACCTTGTTCCTCTGTTGAATCTCGAGCTGCTGTTTCTAGCCATGGCGGATTTGAAACAATCTTCATGAGAGAAGATACAAGAAGATTAGGAAAATAAGAGAACACAATTGAGTTGAGAGGAAGAAAAATGATCTACTTCATTCATAATTTCTTTGTTATTACAACCGCTCCTTTATATCAATCTGATACAACTCATTTTGACAGTTTTGTGTTGTGCACGTGCACAAACAGAAATTACAGATTCAAACAGAATTAACTGTCTAACTGAATCACACATTTTTATTACAAGGTTCTATAATGCAGTTTTTGCAGATTAGCCCTTCTCTCTGGCATTTCTCTTGAGTATCAGTCCTTGGCTTAATTTGTCACCTGTTTCCAATTCTTCCGACATAGCGTCTTCAGCTTCAGCTTCCATCATCAACTTCAGCTCCTGTCCTTCAGCTCCTGACATGTTCCGATCGAAAATCCTTCTTCAATGATGATTATTACAAGCACTTTCCTTTTTATTTTCTTCTTAGAAAAGATTCCGAACACTCTCATAACCCATGAAACCCATTGAGGGAAACCCAATAAAACTCATCGAAGGAGATCCAAGAGGAGAACACAATGCGACAAAAAGGATGCGGTAATTGGGATCGTTCTTGAAAAACTATCAACACACATCCCCAAATAGAGAAAATTATTTATTAAATAGAAAACAATAAAAAAATGAGTTCTGCCATAATTCGTGCAATGATCATTTGGAAAGTGCGAAGCTTTTTTTTCTTATGACATGGTAACGCGGTAAAAATTATAACATGAAATATTAGTTAGTTGGAGAATTCTAATTAATCATAAATTCTTTTTATCTCCTAAATTTTATTTCCTAAACTAACCTTTTTATCTAATTAAAATTATGGTTAATTACAATTTTGGGTGTGGAACACCTCCTAACCGTCAAATCTATCTATCTAGAGATGTGAGTGCTATTTTTTTAGGAATTTATTTATAGATATGCCACCGGTGCTCCAACAAATCTTCATGGAGCACCGAAGCTGCAAACATAAAAAAATATTATTGGCAGAGAATAGATGTTTGGAGAGTGTTGTGGATAGTTTTTTCCTTTTAAAATAGTGTGATTAAAGTTTCTTTGGTTCGACAAATGTTACTATTCATTTCTTAAATCTCTAGTTTTCTAAAGGGTAAATTACACTAGCATTTTGTAGAAACCACCCCGCTAACTTTAAAAACCACACTAAAGCCCTAAATAAATTTTGCAGAAAATCTCCAATATCTTTTAGGTATATTACACTAAATCTAATCCCCAAGAACTTTCAGCGTTTTGTAGAGACTCTGCCAATCACTTTCAAAATTGTACTAAAGCCTAATAATTTTTGCAGAAATCTTCAAATATCTTTTGGGTATATTACGCGAAACCCTCATGAACCTTCAAAATGCCGTCTTTTTTGTTCTAATTTATAGGGGCTATCTGCGGAACGAAAAAAACTTTTTGGGGATTTTCTGTAAAATGCAAAAGTTAGTAGGGGTTTAGTTTGATTTTCAAAGTTATTGGTGTTTTACTGCAAAATGATAAAAGTTCTCGTGAGAGTTTGGGTTTCAGTACCTCATAATTAACCGGAAAAGATGAATGAATCAGTTATCAAAGTAATCGTTTGATTAGACAAGCGTTACAATCCTAACGCCGTTGTGCAATATTCTGATCACTTTGATCAACTAATATTAAAATGCCAGTTTATGATCTTCCCCTAATTTAATAAGTTTTGAACTATTTGAACCTTTTTTAAAGACTCCCAGCTGTTGTTCAACACTTGTGCTATTTTTGTAGATAGAACATAGGTTCGAACAAATTTTAAATTTTGTTGTGGTTTTCAAACTAATAACATTGAGATTGCAACTACGTACCTAAATCTTACATAGCAGTTCCTGCTTGCTGTTGGGATCAAAACAAAGTATCTTCTGACAGTTAACATCCACACAGGGCCTTTGTGTCAATGTACAAACTTTGAGGGGAGAATTTCAACACGACACAGAACAGTATGGTTAGGTTTTATTACTGTTTAAGTTTAAGACATTATTTTGAGATTGTTTCATAAAATAAAAAAAAATAAGGGGCTATTTAGGAGCTCACAATTGTAGTCGAAACGTAATACCGTCACTTGCGTGCAATTGAATCATTGTAAATGTTATTGCTTGCACTAATTTAGGGTATATTTTAAAATTCCACTTTAAATAAAACAAAAATTGAAAAAACAAAAATTGATATAAAAGTTCTTAGAAGTTAGAAACGAGAAGGGTAGTTGAAAGATTTTGAATTTTTTTTATTAGTATAGCAATGTTCATGATCTTCCCTAACCATTAAGTTTTTAGAAATCGGTTTTTCTATAGAGTGCCCATGAGCACTCTATAAGAGATGAGAGAAATACAGGGAAATGAATAGCTCATGCCCCCCCTGATTTGCATTTATTTCTGTGCATAATTCATTTCTCTCTATCTCTCTCCTCTCTTATAGAATACCCATGAGCACTCTATAGAAAAACAGTTTAGAAATATATAAATCAAACTATTCATATAACAATAAAAGAAATTGCTGGAGTTCCTTTTTCTTCTTTTTTTGCCGTGATGAATGCGTAGGCATTAATCACGTTCAAACATTCCAACAAAACACAATTTTACAAAAATGCCCATCCCATAAAAATCCACCC